CTCCACATCCAAAGCCAGCCTCTTCCTCCAAACAAAGGAACTGCCCCTTCCCTATCTTCCACTTTGAATAGCTGTCACCCAGAGTCCTCCTTTTCCCTTCCCTCAGGTTCCCACCTACCTGTGAGACCAGCTGGCTTTCATAGCTCCCACACAAGTCCAGAAAGCCATCCCTTTGCTGAATCTGACAACTGCAATAATTCCCAACATCTCTCCCGACTCCCATAGCCTATTGTCAACACAATAGTCAGCAGACCTTAAAACCTAAATCAGATTATGTCAGTCTTGGGCTTTGCTTGTGACCTCGCAATAGCTTTCCATTTTATTCAGAGTAAAAACAAACAAACAAAACAAAAAAGCCTCAGAGGTTTACAAGTCCAGTAAAGACTTAGGAAATCTGCATACTATCTGTACAGACTTGCTGTCTTCCTCTATAGCCCTGGATCACTTTTCTCCAACCACACCAAACCTAACAGCTCCTACCATGCAATAGAGGTGAATGCAGCATGCTTAGAGGGAATAAATACTTTTCACTACCACACTGTTGCTGCTTCTTCTCTGATGCTATGAAGGAAGCAGGATGACAAGGTAGCCAAGAGGGAGGTGCTTCAGAACACAGTGGCTTTGAATTTAAATCTGGGCTCTGCTTACTGAAAACAAGGCCTTGGGCAGTCTACATAACAATCTCCACAACTGTACTAAGATGACAAAAAATGAAACTGCCTAGGGTTGCTGTGGAAGTGAAACTCTAGACACAGAACCCTGACAGCATCTGGAACTGCACGAGTGACAGTGACAATCTTTACTAAAATATTAATTCCGAGAACAAAGGTTTTTTGACTACTTGCATGCATGCCTTAGTATTCAGTCCAGGGTCTGTAACTGTGGGTGACTAGTTGTTGAAAGAATAAATGAATTTTGACCATCAGATTTCCTGGAATATGGCAGTAGCTTCTTTGGTTCCTTACCCGAGACCTGCATATTATTCCATATATAGATTTTGTACACATAAACAATTTTTAAGTCTCTGTGTGTAGAAACAGAGGCCAGGGGCATTGGAAACCCTGAAACTAGAATGACAGGTGATTTTTGAGCCACCCTATGTAGGTGATGAGAATTGAATTTGGTCTATCTGTAAGAGCAGTATGAAGTCTAAACTGCTGTCTCTCCAGCATAAACCATATATTTTGAATATATCTATCTCCAACTCTTCCTCCCACTCTCCCCAGACACCCCAGCAGTTCACTTCCATGCTTCATATCTTCCCTCCCTGTGTTGTATTTTTAAAGAAGAGTAAATATTCTGAACCCAAACAATGGCCAAAAATAAACTCAAATGCAAATATGTGTTTAATCTGAGATGATTGTACTATGGAGTACCTGTGTCAAATTGTACAGTTCCCTGAAGTCTCTGTTCTAGTGTTTGTTGTTGTCCTTTTGAGACAGGGTCTCCCTATATAACCCTGGCTGACCTGGATCTTGCTATGGAGAACAGGCAGGCTCCGAATGCACAGAGATCTGCCTGCCTCTGCCTCCAGAAAGCTGGGATCAAAGATTTATGCCACCATACCCTGCAGTTTCAATTCTAAACATAAAATATACACATTCTGCATTACATATGTTGTCATGCCACAGAAAACCAACAAACACCACCAAAGAACCTCAGCCAAGAATGGCAATATTTTTACTGTACATGTATTTTTTTCTTATGTATAAACAATGGTTTAGTTATGTAAATAAAAGGCTTTAATATTTCCTTACATTATCCCTCAGCATGCCAGTATTAATATATGGTTTTGGAATGTTTAATTTCAAAAATTGCCATTTGAGAGGCTAGAGAGGTGGCTCAGTGGTTAAGAACAATGGCTGTTCTTCCAGAGGTCCTGAGTTCAATTCCCAGCAACCACATGTTGGCTCACAACCATCTAATGGGATCTGATGCTCTCTTCTGGCCTGCAGGGATATATTCAGGCATACATGCAGACAGATCATTCATACCTAAAAAGAAATACATAAATAAATAAAAATTTTTTAAAAAATTACCATTTGAGATGCTGGTTTGAACTTTATAAAAATCAGTCAATTTTGCTTAGGCATAGAATAAAATTTCAACAGACTGACTCTGAAATGGTTGTAAACATCATTCTGCTATTTTGTATGTTGTCATGTTTATGCAAAGTGACATTCCTGGAACTAAGGGTTACAAAATTAGTATTGATCAACTCTTTAAAGACACTGAAGATGTTTTTAAAGAACATCTGAAGCATCCTGAAGCATCAAATATTTAGTCAAGATTTAATTCTTTCTGTAAAAAAAGGAACAGGTCTGCTCATCCATTAGTAGACAAATTTTACACACACACACACACATACACACACACACACACACACACACACACACAGAGAGAGAGAGAGAGAGAGAGAGAGAGAGAGAGAGAGAGAGACATCTGTTGACTTTTCAGCCGACATTTGCAGAGCTTGTCTGCTGGCCCTGGATCTGAGGGCCTGAAAGAGTGGGGTGGACCACAGTCTAACGATGCAGACAACTTACTTCAGTTTGTGTACTATCATACAAAAATGTAACAAAGAAAGCAATGATCCAAGGACGGTTGTCAGAAAAAAAACATGTAAATAAACACCACTAAGCACACACCAAATATTAACAGAGCAGCCGTTTCCCAGAACTTTCTCAGAACAAATCAATTTAAACACAATTGTCTGCCATGTACTATACATTGTATCTCTGAAAGCATAAAAGCAAGGCAGACATATCCAGATTCAAGAGAAACTGGCCAGATTGGGTTCTATAGCTATGTTCTGACATCCAATGATAATAAACATGTTTTATAAATTGAATGTAAATGTTTGTCAAAGGAGGCATGAAATCACTTACAAGAACAATCCAGGGAACAAAATGCACCTGAGGTAAAAGGCCCTCTGCCTTTTTCCTGGAGCGTCTCTCACAGTTTCCCAAGGCATTGTTTACCATGTGTTATTCCTTTGACCATATTCCAAAATATGTATACTAAGGAATTTTTTCAAATGGACCTCTTTATGATTTATTATCAGCAAGTGTTTGATTTGCATGCCTGTGTTATATGTGTATAAAAACTTCTACAAGGAAAACGGGTCTTGAATGGAAAAGGTAAGCTGTAAGAATCTAAGGGTACACATTGCTTACATTGGTAACGATTCTCATTATCATTTCCTACTGTATACATTATAAAGAGGAAAGAGGTGAACAAATAAATAAGAATAAGAATCTTATTTTGTCTTGCCTCTCAGGAGCTCTAACTCATGAGCAATTCTGTATATAACCAGACTCTAAGCAGAATTTATTGTTCTGTATAGACAACCCAGCCACAGTAATAGTCCTCCGTTATTCTAGGACAGACCATCTTATACAAAGCATTTCCAGTGTTACTGTGGTAAAACATATAAATTAATTACTACATCTAGACCATTTCCCTCCATTGCCTGCCTTACTTCTTCCCCCAATTCCTCTTTATGAAAATCTGTGTGTAAAGAGAACTGAGTATTATGGCTGCAAGAGCAAACTGATGTTCTCTGACCAAGGCATTCTGATCCTTCGGCTCAGAACTTATTCCTGGCATTATTCCAGATCACCTCCGTCTCTGTGGTAATACTATTTGCCATATTCTTCATTTATGTAGTTTTTCAAATGTGCTGAACTCTCAGTCAGCTGTGTTAACACTGTGGAAAACAAAAACACAGATCTCATCTTAAAGGGAATGAGAGAGAGTTTATTCTGGAGTTATTTTGAATGACCATGGGCTAGGAACACAGATTTAGGTCACCACCCTAAATTCCATGTTCCAATATGGAAACAGCTTCATGAAGTTTTATAGAACAATGAAAGTTCACACATCAAGGAATATTTAAAATACATTTCTGGGTGTATTAAAGAGGCAGATACATCAAAAATGGGGACATTTTTCTATGGTTCCAAGGTGCTATCTGATGACATTCTTAGCTTTTGGGTTGATGGAAACTAGTGGCCTGTTAAATTAATAGATTCCAAAAGTTTTAAATCTGTTAGACACAATATGTTAGTTCCAACACAGAGGTGGTCAAGAAGTAGGTATTCGAAAGGGCTTAGAATTAGCCTGAGATAAGGTAATTAGCTTCTGGACCTTATCATCTCTTCACAGTACAGAAGCCAGATAGTTTCTGATGTCACAGCAGAATTTGCAGGTTCGGGTTGTTTGTGACCAACAATGTCTAAGGAGAACTTGCTAGGAAGGGGACAATAAATACCACTGACAAAAGTCTTTGTTGGATCTTAATACTGTTAGTATGAACTTTTCCAGACTCCCCCCACACCCCATCATTCTCTCCCTCCGTTTCTGTATATACCTTCTAGCTTCCTAAAAATACAGCTCCAGTGATTACCGGAGGCTAACAGATCAACGGGATCTTTACAACCCCCTCCTCCCTTTCCAGAATCAGTCTCTGAATTTAAGCCTTCCGGATACAGTTAGCTTCTGTACAAATAGAAAAGGGAACAAGTACCAACAGAATCTATTAACCAAGAGTCAGAGGTAATTTTCTCATCCAATCCTCTTGGTAATCCTATAAAATACAAACTAGAAGAAGAGAAAAAAGTAAAAAGAACTCGATTTTGGGTAAACAGGAGGAAATGCAAGGCAGTGTGATTAGAAAAAGGAAGCTCTCTGGCCACCATTTCCAGCCGTGTTTTGTTTCCTGCCTCGGTTACTCCAGAGACACCGGCATCTCTGCACTGGTGAAACTAACACTTTTGGTTTCCTTTCTTGCTTTCTGGCAGGCACGCGCCTCTCTCCGTGACCAGCTAGCGGTGCACACTCACTGGGCATGACCGGTTCTCCCTGTGCAGCTGTTGCAGTTATTTAAACAGAGGGCAGGAATAGGACTGGGTGCTCCTTGGATCCACCCACTCCCGCAAGGCTCCTCTGATTGGACGTGGATGAGCTCGGCTGGCCTATGGGGAGGCGGTGCGCAGGTTCCCGGAAGTGGCGCCCAGGATCAGTGTGCACCTCTGCTTCCGCGGTGGCCTTAGGGTCTATCCTTCCTCGGCGCTATGAGCTCCTTCCAGGGACAGATGGAGGAGTATCCAACCATCTCTATTGACCGCTTTGACAGGGAGAACCTGAAAGCCCGCGCCTACTTCCTTTCGCACTGCCACAAGGGTGAGTGAGCCCCTCTCGCCACCTACTGCAGTGGCTCTGGGCTGGAGAAGGGACGACAGAAGGGTCGGGGTCTGGTGAAGGGGAGAGCAGGCTGTGGACTCAGCGAGGCACTGGAAAGCACCCCTTGTCCCAGTCGGCTCGTGACCTCGCTTTGGCTTTATTGAGCTCCAGGTCTGTACCACTTCTGTAATCCCACCTCCGGTTGCAATCTGCCCCTGGACCCTGTGGTAAGGCTGAATGAGCTGTTAGAAATGCTGGTTGCTATCTGTGGGGGAGCATCGGTTTGGTAAGGTTTACTTAGCTCTTGCGAAGTGCCCCTCTCTCACTCATGCACATGTTTCAGAACTTCTAGTACACCCCGAGAGGAGACATTAGGTAAGAACCTAAGATCTGCCTGCCTGCCTCCCCCTCTTTTCCCCCAACCAATCTGTAAATTTGGCCAGCTGTCCTCCATTTATCTTTTTTTTTTTTTTTTTTTTTTTTTGGTATTTTTTGAGACAGGGTTTCTCTGTGTAGCTTTGGAGCCTATCCTGGCACTCGCTCTGTAGACCAGACTGGCCTTGAACTCACAGAGATCCTCCTGCTTCTGCCTCCCGAGTGCTGTGATTAAAGGCATGAGTCACCAACGACCAGCTCATTTTTTTCTTTTTTATTACTCACTTATTTTAGGTTATGGGGTTTAGAGTTTATGTATCCTAGGTGTAGTCAAATCAATTCACCTAGGTTCTCTTCTTAGCCCTTGACTGCTTCAATCTCCTTAACCATATGGGACTTGAATTGTTTTCCTCAACTCGGGTTGGACAACTTTTAGTGGTTCCTGTTTGGTTCTGTATTCTGAAACGTTCATCTGCAGAGGAAGCAAAGACCCATGGCGTCAATTTGCTTGTAACAGTGAGCCTTCTGTAATTTCTTTCAATAGGAAGCTTACAAAGACGGGGCTGAGGAACCCTCTTTAAAAAAATTAAACCAAACATGATTATGATTTCTAATTCTTTTCCTTGTAGATCACATGAAAGGATTAAGGGCTCCTTCCTTGAAAAGAAGGCTGGAATGCAGGTAATTGATTTTTGCTACTTATTTGTGTATAAGTAAACATCTTAACTGAGAGATAGCACCTAGATAGAACAGAACATGCACCCTAAGGGGGTGGCCTGATGAGCCTATATGAACACTACGAAGCTTCAACACTGATAAGAAATCGAACACTACCAATATCCTAGACCCCTATTTTGACCTTTTGTCATGATGAGCTAACTTTGGTTATTCATGAATTTTATATAACTAGAAGGCTTGATGTCGTGGTGTGATCCCCACATTGAGGAAGCAAGAGGATTGTGAGTTCAAGGCGAACATGGGTTATGTAGTAAGAACTTGTCACAAATAAACAAAAATAAATAAATAGGATCATATACTGCATAGACTAAGAAATCTTGTTAAACATTCTCCAAAGGTTTAATTATGTTTGTCTTATTTATATGCTTGTTTTGCCTGTGTATATATGCATGCCACATACATACAGTATCCACAGAAGCCAGAAGGAAGTGTCAGATCTCCTGGAACTGGGGTTACAGACCTTTGCAGCTGCTATATGAGTGCTAGAAATTGAACCTGGGTCTTCTGGAAGAACAGCTATAACTGCTGAGCCATCTCTCCAGCTCCATCTTTCTCTTAACATTGTATTTATGTGATCCATCTATGTTGCTGATCACAGCAATAACTCATTTGTTTTCATTTTTGTAAGAGTGTGTTTATGTGTGTGTGAGTGTTTTTTCTAGAATCCTTGGCTGGCAAGTTGGCTCAGTGGTTGAAGAGCACTGCTTGCTGTGATAGACCAGGCATGATGGAGGTTGAGAATGCAGTAGTCCACATGGAATGGTATCATTAGAACCTCTTGGTCCCCTTTTAAATAGGCACCATTATTATATCTAACTTAGAGAAACTAAGAAGTCAGGCAGGTTAAATTAGTTGCCCAGTGTCATAGGACCAGTGAGTGGCAGGACCAGGTTTTTAACCAGGTCTGTCTGATTTCAAAGCCTATGTATCAGCCAGTTATTGCTGTGTAACAAATTACCTTGTAACTGAGTATCTTAAGATGACATCAATCCCTCAGTTTCTCTGGATCAGGAATTATGAGAGAATACAGTATGGATTGCTGGCTTCTGCCTGCCTGCCTGCCTGGCATCAGATGGAACTGAAATTATCTGAAGACTCAAGTGTCTGGAACTTGGAAGGATGCATATAACAGCAACAAGGCCTAGAATAGCCAGCTTTTTAACTTGTCTGTCTCTGAGAGGTTTCTTTACGCTGGGATAACTAGTTTTGTTAATAGAGAATCTAGGGTTAAAATCTGTACATCCTGGGACAGATATGGTGAAGCATACTTTTAGTCCAAACACTCAGGAGGCAGAGGCACAGACAGATCTTTGTGCATTTGAGGCCAGCCTGGTCTACATAGTAAGTTCCAGGTTAGCCATAGTTGACATAGTGAGACCTTGTCAAAATAAACAAACAAAATCCCAAGGTAGAGTCAGGAGGCAGGTATATTGTCTGGAAAGCAAGCTTTAAACATCCTGCTAACTGGAGGAAGCCCCACCTTCAGTAATGCTATCCGTTTATGACTCCAACACAGTCTTAATCCATGAATTATGTCAGAGGCCTCATATATGCCAAATGCCTCTTTCTGAGCATTGCATTGGAGACTGAGTCTTAGCACATGGGTTTTGGAGGGTCTTTTATAACCAAATCATGACAGGTATGTTGGAAGCCCCTGTCATACTTTCCATGGTAACTGATTGTGTTTACTAAAGAAAAGTGATATCCTGTGAAATGCATTGCTGGCTCACCTAAGTGGCTTGTTGTGAATTGTACTGAAACAACTTTTTTTCCCTTTCTGTTTTGTTTTGTGCTTTCAGCTTGAAGGTTTTCCTGTACTGTTCTCCAGTTACCAAGGAGCTGTTGTTAACCAGCCCGAAATACAGATTTTGGGAAAAACGAGTTGTAAGTCAATTGTAATTCAAAAAACTGTCATTTTTGAATAGCACTACTTGTTGTATATGTGGGGAGTATTTTTAGAGGTACCTTTTTTTGTTTTTTGTTTTTTGTTTTTGTTTTTTTGAGACAGGGTTTCTCTGTGTAGCTTTGGAGCCTATCCTGGAGGTTGGTCTGGAGACCAGGCTGGCCTTGAACTCACAGAGATCCGCCTGCCTCTGCCTCCCTGAGTGCTGGGATTAAAGGCGTGTGCCACCAACGCCCGGCCTAGAGGCACCTTTTAAAAACATTGGAATTATCCAAAATTCCTTTCTTCATACATTATAGATTCATCATTAATTAGAATAGTGATATTTGATGTAGTTTAGGAGTCAGCAATTGGTTGTTTCTTATTCCTCAAGAATGTGATTTAGGTCTTATGCTTTATTTACTCTCATGGACTGCCTAGCTGAGATGTATTAAAGTATAAAAAAGTGTGCATTCTCATAATTTTTAAATCACAGGCTAGCTCAGGGAGAAGAAACATAATTGGAAGTTTATAATAAAGAGTAGGGGCTGAGAGATGGTTTAGTGGTTAAGAGCACTTGATGCTCTCTGACACCATATTAAGCATCTCACAACCACCTGTAACTCTAGCTCCTCTTTTGGCCTCAACAGGCATTCATACACAGGTGGCATTCACACACACACACACACACACCCCTTAAAGAAAGAGAGAAAGGAAGAAAGAAAGGGTAAACAAGCAGAGTACTAGAATAAAGATAGGATGGAGCCAAACACAGTGACACAGGCCTGAGATCCCAGCATTTGAAAGTCTA